TCCCAGTCCCTCTCCCTCGTCCTCCCCCTCGCCCTCGTTCGTCGTCTCCTCCTCGTCGATCCCATCCTCCTCCTCCTGCCCGCTCGCCTGCCCTCTTCGCCCCCCCCCCTCGCCTGCCCCTTCCGCTGCCCAGCCTGCTGCCAGTCCTTCTGACCTCCCTCCCCCCTCATCCCTTCAGTTCCTTCCCCCCCTCGCTCCTCCCTCCACCTCTCCCCGCTCATCCCTCCGCCCCCTCATTCCTCCCCCCCGTCTTTCCTTATTCATTCCCTCCCTTCGATTCCTTCCCCCCCTCGCTCCTCCCTCCACTTCCCCCCGCTCTGCCTCCTCTTGCCCACGGCGGTCCCATCACCCTGGGCGAGGCGACGGGTAGCACGCGGGGCCTCGTGTCCTCCTGGCCCCCCGAGTGAGTGCAGAACCCCCCCCGAGGCCCGCGCGACCATGCACGGGTCGGGGAGCCACAGCTGTCCAGGCAGGTCAGGAGGAGGAGGAGGAGGAGCAGAAGGATGAGGAAGAGGAGGGAGGATGAGGAGGAGGAGGAGGAGGAGGAGGAGGAGGATGGGCTCCTCCAGGGGGGGATGCGTCGACCCCTAAACTCCCATGGATCGTGATGGGGGGCCCAATAGCCCACCCCGCCCCGGAACTTCGGCATTCGCTAATATATATATATATATATATATATAATAGTACACATCGCTTATCGCCGATCTATCGGCGACGTGGCGCCGATTCCAGGTCGATGTTTCCCCCCCTTGAGCACGTCCCCCACTGACGTTGCCCCTCACCGTAGCGGTCCCAGGCAGGGCCGTAGCCTGGTCCACGCCAATCAGCGGCCGTGCGCGGCCCACAGGGCCAGCCCCTTGGAACGGCAAGAGGAGCCCACAAGGGCAAACATTGCTTGGGAGGGACACGAGAGCACATGACACTTGTAGGGGGACGGCGACGGCGACGACGACGACGACGACGACGGCGACGGCGACGGCGACGACGACGACGACGACAATGACGCCAGCGAGGCCCTCGGGAGGCCGAACGTGCCCAAACACCTATGGGAATCCCCCCACGCCGCGAGGATGTCAGGGTGAGCCGAAGGATCACCACGCACCAGGCCATCCCCAACCCAACCCGAGGGCTCCAGTGTGCCCTCCATTCCCAGTCGGGGATGCTTCGGGGAACAGTGGACATGTGGAGCCCGTGCCCCCCTCAACCCGAAGCCTGGGACTCCGGGTCGGGTTGGGGTGCTCTGGTAGGGCGCGCCGCGCCGCGCCGCGAGCGTCGCGCCGCGAGCGCCGCGCCGCGCCGCGCCGCGCCGCTTCCGCGGCCCGCCGCGCAGGAGTTCTTCACCTCGCGCCGCGCGTCCCTGAAGCGGCTGCTCGACGGCCACAGGCGCAACCGCCCGGCGGCCTGGCGGCGCGCCCGCGGCCGCCGCGGCCCCTCCCCCCCCCCCCACCTCAGCCACCTTGCAGTACCGAAGCGCGCCCCGAGTCGGGCAAGGCATGAGGGTGCAAACCCCACTTGTCTGGCTGCTGCTCGGGGGGGGGGTCCTGTGCTCAGGGGGGGCTGCAGCACTGCTCAACGATGTGGTTTCAGCCGAACCTGCAGGGTGGGCCCTCTTCGTTTCGCTGTGCGCTTCAGTTTTGGCTTCGGCTTCCGCTGCCGATGCACCGTGAAGCGCCTTCGGGCCAGCTCACCCGAGCCGGATTTTCCGCTCGCACGGGTGCTCCCCCCCCCCCCTCCGCCACCATGGAGCCCAGGAGGGGCCGGGAGCCGGGGGGCAGCGGGAGGAGGCGGAGGTCATGGCCCAGGGAGGCCTCGGCTCCGAGGCTCGAGGCTCGAGGTGGTCGGTCGAGCTCGTCGGCTCTCGTGCGGTTTCCTGGCCTCGGGATGCGCTCCAGCGGCTGCGCCGCGCCGAGGGCATCCCAGGGGGTGCCACCGTCGTCCCGAGCGGCCGCCCGGGAGCCGCCCCCGCGGGGGGTTGCGAGGAGCATGCCGGGAGGGAAGGCGAGCAGCCATGGCACGCCGCAGTTGGGATGCCGTCCGCGTAGCTCTCTGCCGTTCATGGGGGGATAGAAGTCGGACACTGGAACGTATACGTTACCAGTGGCGGGCCGTTTTTCGATCCCAGGACTTCTCGAGGGTCGAGGCCGACGCTGGGGTGGTGTGGTGTGTATTTTGTTCCCCGATGTCCCGGGGAAACAACGAAACATGTATACATCAGGGTCCCGTATACACCAGGATCCGCTCTCCAGTGCAAATTCCAATGCAGGGCTGGAAGAAGCGTCGGTGTATAGAGTTCGATTCCCTAAGAAGAGCCCCTAACCCTAACAGCACGAGGAAGGCGCAGCCTCACTGAGGTCCCCGTCTTCGCAATGGGGCCATTGATTCTGGGCGGTTTGGTTCGAGACACACCTGCAGAAAAAAACCCTTCTGTCCCTAATGTTCCTGGCCCTCCTAACTTGGGTTTCCTCGGGTTATGGTTCTTTTGCGTCAATCATTCGTTTTCGTCCGACAGCCTGGTGTTGGAGCCGGCTGGGGTCTGAGGTGGCCCAGCGCTGGTTCCGGCGAGGAGGAAGGGGACCAGGTCCGAGGTTTTTTGGGTTTGGGAAGGTTCTTACTTATTGGCCTCCAGGGGCCGTTTTCAGGCCCTGGGACCGTCAGAAACGAATCACGGGGGGACAACTTCGCCAGATGGACCCCTGGAGGGGTCCGGGGATTGATTTTGATCGGATTTGGCTTCATCCCTCCTCCTGGCTGATTTTTTAAGAACCGAACCAGTTCAGACACCCCAGCCGTCTCTAACCGCCACCCTTCCGGGATCACGGCAGATTCGTCATTGCGCCCTGTCGGCCCAAAGGTGTCTGACCGAAACAAGTCGGTGGCCGAAGACGTGCCAGAAGTTGTGTGGCCGGAAACGCAGTGTGACCGAACGGGTGACCAAAGTTGAGCAGTGCATTGGTTCCGAACCAAGCAATCGGTCACATTCGGGCGCATTCGGACGAATTTGGGCGCTGGTTTCGGTCACGCTCGGGCAGAATTTCGGACACAGCTTCGGTGACTAGTCCAACCCTCCTGACAGAGACGATGCTACGTGAGGTTCGCGCCCTGTTGACGCGGCGGCGACCCCAGCGCGGGCGTTCAAGGATGATCCCCGCCAGTCTTCTGGAGTCGGCTTACAATCTAGGCCTCCTAGATGGGGGCGGAGTAGATGGGAGCGGAGGATCGCGCCGCATCGCCGACGCATTGGCGATGCGTCTCAGTGTGGAGCATGATGTTCTCCACTCTGACGTCGCCGATGCATCGCCGATACAGCGGTGACATCGACGCTACGGTGCGATCCTCCGACCCCAACTGCTCCGACCCCATCTGGGAGGTCTCTGTCCAGGGAGGGGCCGTGTCCTCAAGGGGTTGCGGAGTTTCCCCCCCCTCCCGCCCTCTCTTCCTTGGCCTTTTGGGAGGCTTTCAGGCTTGGGATCTCGGCCTACATCGAACGATCTGCATGATGGCGGTTTTAGATGCCCTGGATATTTTGCCAGAGGTTCTGTCGCGCTTGTGGCCCGTAGTGCCGGGGAGCTTGACAAAGGAGAGGGCTGGCGGAGGGATGGGGCGCCTCGCCCTCCACGCTGACCTCGGCATCCGCTCAGCGAGCCCCACGTTCAAACTCGGCGATTTTGCCGTCCTTGTCCGACCTGGTTTGGTAGGGAAGAGGGATGGAATGGACGGGGCTATGACGTGGATAAATCCGTTCCAGAGCGGTCCTCAACGCTCTCAGAGCGTTCTGGAGCGCTGCACGAAGGCCGCGACGCCCGGGACATCCCTCAGACTCGCCAGATCTCAGAGGTTCTCGATTTGTCCTCGCCCGGTTTGATCCTCGTCGTGGCCTCGTCTTGATGCTGGAGGATTGCGCGCCGCCGAGGGGGAAACGGAGGGCGAGAGCGAGAGAGCCCTACGGCTCAGGCACGAACGCAAACCCCGGCGGCGGGGGGGGGGCATCGGAGAATACCTTCTCGTCGCCACGCTGCGGCTCTCCTCAATCGGCGGCTGCGCGCCGTGGGCCAGCGACGGGCCCCCCCCTTTAGGAACAAGGAGCTCACCGCCGTCTTGCCCCCCTAGAGCGGTGGGCCTGAGAGGGACGGGAGGAGGGATGGGGAGAGGAGAGGAGGTATGGGGAGGAGGAGGATGGAGAAGGGAGGAGGGAGGGATGGGAGGAGGGATGGGAGGAGGGATGGGGAGAGGGATGGGAGGACTGGAGGAGGCATTCGCCCCCCCCCCCCCCCCCCCCCCCCTCGGAGGAGCCCTTGGCTGGCGCCCCGCGACCTGGCGAGAGCGCCCGTGCCCGCCCGCGCGCGAGTCGCGCGGCGCCCCAGGCCGAACAAGGGCGGCGCGGGGCCGAAGCTGGGCGACCTCCAGGCGATGCGAATGGGGGGGAGGTGGCGGCACGGTGGCGGATGAAGTGGACATGAAGGGGAAACGCTTGTCATGAGGAGCCAGAGGAGCTGGAGCTGGAGCAGGATGAGGAGGAGGAGGAGGAGGAGGAGGAGGAGGAGGAGGAGGAGGAGGAGGAGGAGGAGGAGGAGAGGAGGAGGGAGGAGGAGGAGGATAATCAGGAGAAGGAGGAGGAGGAGGAGGAGGAGGAGGAGGAGGAGGAGGAGGAGGAGGAGGAGGAGAACGAGGAGGAGAGAGGAGAGATGAGAGAGGAGAGAGGCAAGCTATGTGCGTTCGAGCCCTATCTGATGTCCTATCCCTCCCTCCCATCCCTTTACATGCCGCTGATTGTTCTCTATCTGCGGACGCGTGTTACAGCCTTCCTGTGACTCCCACAGAAAGACCACTTCGTAAGAGAAAGCCCCAACCAATGCATGGTTTGAACATTTGTGGTATGGTTATTGAGATCGATTGTGATATTGAGTGAGATCGATCGTGGAATCGGTAGTGAGGATGATAGTAAGGTCGATCGTGTGCCCGATAGTGAAGTCGATCCAGTGAGATCGAAAGTAACATCGATCGTGAAGTCGCGCGTGTGATCCATAGTGAAATCGATTGTGAGATCGATCGTGAGATCGATAGAGAGGTGGGTCGTGAGATCGATGGGGTGAGACCGATCGGTAACGAGATCAGCCAGGAACCCGCGAACCCGCAAGCCCGGGAACCCCGGCGACCACCGAGATCGGCCCAGCCCCAGCAATTGGGAGCCCAGCGGCCTACCGAAATCGGCCGCCCATGTTCGCCAGATCCTGCAAGATCCGCTAGGACCCCTTCAGTGCAAGCACTGATAGGGGAAAGACGAACAGCAGCAGCAGCAGCAGCAGGAACAACGCGGAAGAAACAAAAGCGGAGGACCACGGAACGGCGGAGGAGAGGAAACGAGGGGGGCGACAACGATGAAGAAAGGTTTTGATGCATGGAAGTGGCCCGCTCAGGGGCGAGACGAACAGCAGCAGGAGCTGGAGTGGAAGGAGCGGGAGGAGCAGGAGGACCAGGGGAAGGCGGAGGAGGGGAAATGAGGGGGACCACAATAAAGCAAGACTCTGATCTGACAACGTGTCCCGCGCTGGGGCGATAGCGCCATTCTGAACGACGGGAGCAAGGCGCCCATCCGAAACAGCACCATATTCTGAAACACCGAGCACAATAGGATTGCAACACAACCATAAGAGGCATACTGTTTGAAATCCTGTGTTCAAGAAAAAACAGCACGAGGAGGGAGACCTGTATTCGTATTCTTCAGTTGTGGAGAGGAGAGAAAGGACAGAGGAGAGAGGAGAGAGGAGAGAGACAGGGGAGGAGGGCGACAGCCCCTGAAACGCAGTGGTGGGCCCCGAGAAGCCCCGAAAATCCTCTCCTCCGTCCTCCCTCCTCCTCCTCCTCCGCTTTCCTCCCTCCCTCCCCTCGTCCTTCCCCCCTCCCTCTGCGCTTGCTCCTCGTCCCCCTGTCTCCCTCAGTGCGAAGGAGGGGCAGAAGAGCGTGAGGGAGGAGGAGGAGGAGGAGGAGGAGGAGGAGGAGGAGGAGGAGGAGGAGGAGGAGGAGGAGGAGGAGGAGGAGGGAGGGAGGATGGATGAAGAGGGATAGAGCAGGAGGAGGATGGAGTGAGGAGGGAGGAGGTGGTGGTGGTGGTGCACGTTGGCTACAGGAGGGAGGAGGAGGAGGAGGGAGGAGCCGATGGAGGGAGGAGGAGGAGGAGGCGAGGGAGGAGGAGGAGGAGGAGGAGGAGGAGCAGGAACAGGAGGAGGAGCAGGAGAAGGAGGGAGAGGAGGGAGGAGGAGGGAGGAGGGAGGAGCCGATGGAGGGAGTTGGAGGGGAGGGAGGAGGAGGATGAGGAGGAGGAGGAGGAGGAGGAGGAGGAGGCGGAGGAGGTTGACCAGAGTAAACTCGGGATGCGTCAGCGCTGCTGGCCAGCAGAAGTGCCAACAGGTGGGATGATAACGTACAAGACAGTGTCCAGCGACCGCCCCGCTACTTTGGGTGTTTCCCCCATATCCTAAGTATGGGGTTCTTGTGATTGGCCGACCGCGCCGGAGGAACCTCCTCCTCCTCACCTCCTCCCCCTCCACCCCACTCACTCATCACTCAGACTCACTCATCACTCAGACCCACTCATCACTCAGACTCACTCATCACTCAGACTCACTCATCACTCGGGCTCAGTCATCAGACTCAGACTCATCACTCATCACCCAGACTCACTCATCACTCAGACTCACTCAGCACTCAGACTCACTCATCACTCAGACTCACTCGTACTTGTACTCGTACATTCACTACACTCACTCAGGTCCACTCATCGGATGACTCACACACACTGATGTTGAGGATGTCTCAGGCGATTCTGTGGCTTCAGCACTCCTAAGGGGAGCGGCGGGGGGGTATTGCACTCGGCACCTTTCGCGGGATTGTGTGGGGATGTCTCGAGCGGTTTGCTTGTTTTCTGTCCCAACATCCTTCGCTTTCGGAGCAGATTTGGAGGATGTCTCGAGCGAGGCGCTCATTTTCACGTTCCTAAGGGGAGCGGCGGGGGGGTATTGCACTCGACCCCTTTCGCGGGATTTTGTTGGGATGTCTCGAGCGGTTTGCTTGTTCTCTGTGCCAGCATCCTTCGCTTTCGGAGCAGATTTGGAGGATGTCTCGAGCGAGGCGCTCATTTTCACGTTCCTAACGGCCAGATGTTGAGGATGTCTCGATCGGTTTGCTTGTTTTGGTGGCCAGGCTCGTGGGCGCAGATTCTTCTCAGGATGCCATAGGAGGCTCCAACAGGCTCCAGGAGGCCCCAGGAGACCACATGAGGTCCCAGGAGGCATCAGGAGGCCACAGAAAGATTCAAGAGGCCACAGGATGTCCCAAGAGGCTCCAGGAGGCCCCAGGAAGCTCCAGATGGCCTCAGGAAACCACAGGAGGCCCCAGGAGGCAACAGGAAGCGCCAGGAGGCCTCGGAAGGCAACAGGAGGCCCCGAGAGGCCCTTGAGCAGGAGGCCTCATCAGGCAGCAGGAGTGGCTCCAATCCCATGTGTTTTACGTATGCTCCTATCGATTGGGCCTCACCTGGAGCACGAGTCTTTGATGTTGTACGTATGTTTCTATATATTGCCCTTCTCCTGTGTACACAATCCTACATGTTTTACTTATGTTCCTATAGATTGGGCCTCTCCTGGGGCACGAGTCCTTGGTGTTTTACGCGTGTTCCTATAGATTGCCCTTCTCCTGTGGCTCTAATCCGCAATGTTTTATGTACGTCTGTTGCTATAGATTGCGCCTCTCCTGGGGCACGAAACCTCCCTAGGAGGTCCCAGGAGGCCCCAAGAGGCTCCTGGAGACCCCAGGAAGCCCCAGTAGGTTTCAGGAGGCCCCAGGAGGCCCCAGGCTCATGCACGAAGACGCGCTCGTACTACTGAGGCTTATTCACAGTCCAATTCATTCGCAGTTAGATTTATGTCCAGACCGTCACAACTGAAGCCCGTGTACATTCGAACGCTCTTGCGCCTAGACATTCACGGCGGACAGGTCCATGCGAATAGATGCACATATGGGGAGCTCCACGCAGTGAATAATTATACATACGTTTTTTAATGGATCAGCCCTCGACCCGCCTGACCAGCATTAGCGAACGCCTCACTCGATATCCCATATTCAAAAGAAGGAACCGCCCTCCAGGTGTGTAATCCCTGGACACTCTGGGGCATCACGTGGTAGGAAGTGGGGAAGTATCAAGCAGGAACCTCATTTTGAAATCGTATCAGTCTCCATCCGGTTTCAAACTACGACAACGAATGCGCGCTGCGCCAAGGCGATTGCCGCATGTTGAAACACACTCGGCCCTCCATCCGTGTAACTGTTGGACGAGTTCAAACGAATGTGCATGGTGCTAATGCGGAGCCGCATTTCGAATTCGACCCGGCTTCAATCCTTGCAGCTGTTGGAGCTTGTTAGCGTCATGACAGTAGGCCCAAAGTAATATCTAGCGACATGCACAGTCCAGCCCACGGACACGTCTGGTGGTGTGACAAGGGGGAGTTGTTTATACGGAGGAGGAATGGAGGACGAGGGAGGGATGAAGGGAGGGAGGGAAGAAGAGGGCAACATGTGGAGGGGATGAGCAGGATAAGGAAGAGGAGGGGTAGGAAAGTCGGATGAGGGGAGGAGTGAGGGAGGGAGGGAGGAGGATGGAAGGGGAGAAGGAGGAGGGGAATTATGATGAGGAAGAGGATGAGGAGGAACAGGGGGGAGGATAATGAGGAGGAGGAGGAGGAGGAGGAGGAGGAGGAGGAGGAGGAGGGGGGGATGGGGGGGGGAGGAGCAGGATGAGCAAGAGGAGGGTGGATGGCGCAGGAGGCGTTGGAGGAAGGAGGGAATGGGCGGAGGAGGGAGACGAGAGGAGCAGGGAATGGGAGTGAGGGAGGAGGGCCGCGAGGGTGCCCCCTAGCCGTGCCCCGCGGCGCTGCGGCAGGCCATCGACGAGTCCGGGCTGGCCGACGCCGGAGGCGACGGCGCCAGCGCCGAGGACGGCGAGGGGTCGTCCCCCTCCCGGAGCGGAAGGCTCTGCTCACGACGGAGGAAGGTATCCTCTCTCCTCCTCCTCCCTCCCTCCTCCTCCTCTCACTCCCTCCTCCTCCCTCCTGATTACCTCCTCCTCCTCCTCCCTCCTCCTCCTCTCCTCCTCTCTCTCCTCCTCTCTCTCCTCCTCCTCCTCCTCCTGATTATCCTCCTCCCTCCTCCTCCTGATTATCCTCCTCCTCCTCCTGATTATCCTCCTCCTCCTCCTCCTCCTCCTCCTCCTTCCCCTCTTCATGCCCCCCTCTCACGGCCGAGCAGGGGGTCATTCTGGACATACGGTAGTTTTCGTTTCACAGCTGAGCGACGCGTTCGTGCGACTGGGCGGCGAGCCGCGGGAGAAGCGTGATGTGCCAGTCTGGCGTAGCAGCGCGTCGTGGCAGCGTGGCGCATCTGGCGTGAGGTGCTGGCGCGGCGTAGCAGCGTGGCGTCTGGGCCGCGGGGGCAGGGTCGCGCGCTCTCCGCTCGGGAAAGTGGGCTGCGCTCTGTGCTGCGGCGTGCGGGTGGCGCACGCTACTGGCAAAGCGGGTGGGTCTCCCAGCCGTGCTCTTTCTCTGGCCTTACGTTAGGCACGTCCCCCTTGCAAGAGGAACGTTCAAAAAACAGTCCAAAAATAGCCTGGTGGCGATTTATCGACTATTTTTGGCCATTTTGATTTTTTAAAATATGTTTTGGCTTTCGTCCAAAATCCGCCTGTAGGAGGACATGCCCGACCTAACTCTGGCCCCAGGGCCATCCGAAGCGGATCCGGGACGAACGCTTACGCTGGGGAAGGGGTCGGGCGACACGTCAGGGGCAACGATAAGGGGGAGATAAGCATAGGGGGGGCTGCATCGACCCCCAATCGCCCATTGATCGCCGACAGGGCTCCGATAGCCACCACATCCCGCCCAGGAAGGTGCGGATTCGCTGTCGGAGGCCTGCCGCCGATCTATCGGCGTCGTATCGCCGATTCCGGGTCGATGTTTCCCCCCCCGTGTGCCAGTTGCCAGGCCCCCCCCCCTCTCGTTGCCCCTCAGCCCGAGGCCTCGCATTGAAACGGTCACATCGTCGGATGTCAGGGGGAGGAGGAGGAGGAGAAGGAAAAAGAGGAGGAGGAGAACGAGGAGGAAGAGGAGGAGGAGGAGGAGGAGGAGGAGGAGGAGGAGGAGGAGGAGGAGGGAGGAGGAGGAGGAGGAGGAGGAGGAAGAGGCCGCGTCCTCCAGGCCCGCCAGCTCTCAGAGATTCCGACCTGCGGTCAGGCGCCGCGGCGGCGCGTGTCGCACCGCCGGCTTTGGCCCACCACGCCACGCCTCGGCGCGACACGCCTGGTGGACGACGACCAATGGAGCGGAAGCGTGTTGCCAACGACTTTCCAGATGTCTGAGGCATGGTTTGAGCATGTTTTAAGCATGTAAAACATACGTTTTGAGCATTTCGAGAACATGTTTCAAACAGTTTGAACACATGTTCGGTTCCAATGATAGGAGTGTTAGGGCTTCCACTGTCATGGCGTCCGCAAGACGCGCCATCCACTCCGCGGTCCCCGGGCGTCAACGTCCCGAGCTGTTCCCGACCTCCCGACCTGCAGAGCGGAGAGACACGCTGTCCGCTCGCAGGGCACGGCGTGTAGCCGGGGCCGCCGCGGTGACACGACAAGCAAAAGGTTTCGACCGTATCTTCAACCGTCCTCATCATGCTTTGCGGCGGGCGCTTTCTGGCCATACCGCCCAGGAAACGATATTTGTTCTACGCGATGGTTATACTGTATGCTTGGGTTGGACGGACGCCTCCAAGGAGGACACATAGTACTTCGGATGGGGCTGGGACGAGGATAAATCCGTTCCAGAGCGTTCTGGAACGCTCTCAGAGCGGTCCGGAACGCTCTGAGCAGATTTGATCTTCGTCCTGGCTTCGTCGTAGTACTCGTCGGAGGCAGGGGGGGGAGATCACAGTGGAACGGAGGGCTCCCCACCGGGCATCGTGAACGTGTTCGTGTCGCGCGCGCGGGCGACGCGAAGCTGCGCGAGCGCGCGAGAGTAAATGACCCCGCCGTCGCTGGGGCGATTCGGATGCAAAAGTGCGGCTCTCCGGTGGGCGCGCGGTGGCTGGGGGCGTCCCGCTGTGGTGTCTCGAGGTGTCCCGATGGTGTCCCGCGGTGTCTCGCCGCGGGCGCGCGAGAGGAATGATCCCGCCGTCGCCAGGGCGATTCGGATACAAAAGGCCGGCTCTCCTGTGGGCGCGCGGGGGCTGGGGGTGTCCTGCGTTGTTCCGATGGTGTCCCGCCGTGGTGTCACGATGGTGTCCAGTGGTGTCCCGCGGTGTCCCAGTGGTGTCCCGCGGTGTCCCGTGATGTCCCGATGGTGTCCCGCGGTATCCCGCCGAAGTGTCCCGATGGTGTCCCGATCTAATGTGAGATCGATAACGACCGAGACGTGGTAACATCGGTAGTGAGATCGATAGTTGGATCGATAGTGAGGTCGATAGTGAGATCGGTAGGTGCATCGATCGAGCGAGCGGCAGTGAGATCGATGTGCGATCGATACTTGCATCGAAAGCGCAATCGATAGTGACGTCGATAGTGCGATCGATTTCGAGATCGATGGTTCGATCGATAGTGGGGATCGATTTTGAGCTTGATTGTGAGATCGATTGCAAGATCGCTTCAGAGATCGAATGTGAAATCGATAGAGAGATCGGTCCAATCAGATCGACCGATCTCACTCAACCGATCAGACGCAACCACCACAGTCAGCAAGCATCCATGACAGCGCAGTGGCGGTGGCACTGTTTTGACTGATTGGTGTCCCGATGGTGTCCCGTCAGTCGGACCAGGGTGGGAGATCGAGGTCGGTTCGGGGAGGGTACCCTATTGTTCTTCGTGCTTGTCGTGTGTTCTTGTGCACCCTGGGGAGGGCACCCTTGGATCTTCCGTGTGCTTTGGACGGCGGAGGGCCTCATGTTCTTGAAGGATGTTCGTCTGGCCTAGGTCCGATTGTATCACCCGAAGGGTGGCCGCATGGCTATGTCCCTGTGCGCCCCGTCCTGGTGCATCGCGATGCCGCCCCGCGACAGCCGCCAGGGGCTGCCCTTCAGCCCTGCCGCCCCCGCGCGCTTGCTGCTGCCCCGCTGCGAGAGAGTGCCCCCGCGCCCGGCTCCCCCCTCCGCGGCCGCCCCCCTGGCCTCCCCCCCCCCTCTTCCTCCTGCGTGCGAGCTAGTTCGCGACGCCGTGCGGCTCGCTCGGGCGCCCGAGCGGATCGCCTCTGCCGCGCCGCGACGTGGAAAAGGGCGCCCCCAGCCGCTGGGGGAGGAGGGGAAGCATCGGGAGAGGGAGGAGGAGGAGGCGGAGGAGAAGGAGGAGGAAAATGAGGAGGGGGGAGGAGCAAGAGGAGGAGGAGGAGGAGGAGGAGGAGGAGGAGGGGAGGAGGAGGAGGAGGAGGAGGAGGAGGAGGAGGATGCGGATGAGGATGGTGATGATGCTGCTGCTGATGATGATGCTAATGCTGATGCTGCTGCTGATGATGATGAGGAGGAGGATGAAGACGAGGAGGACAACAAGGAGGAGGAGGAGGAGGAGGAGGAGGAGGAGGAGGAGGAGGAGGAGGAGGAGGAGGAGGAGGAGGGGGAGTCTGCTGCCCTCGCCTCATCGGCGGCGCGGGGGGCCCCCTCCCGTGCGCGAGGACCGCGGCGCTGGCGTGCTGCCCACGCCCAGCATCCGGCCCCAGGCGCCCGCGGCGGGTCTCGGCCTATGCGCGGCCCCCGTCCGGGGGGAGAGCTGCCAGATCCTCACGAGTTTTTTGTCGTATACCGCGCCCTCCCCGCCCCAGTCGAGTGCCACCGCCGTGGGCCACTTCCGGGGCCACTTCCAGTATACAAGGACCACCACGCCCCCAGTGGGGGACTCTTGTATACCAGAGCCACGACCAGGACCTGGGCTCGCCCCCTGGGGCTGTTAGGCATAATATATATATATATATATACTGTTCCGGCGGATTTGGAAGGGCTCTGGTCGTGATTTTTCATCCTATTTCAATTTGGTCGAGACGTCGGGTCTCAGGGAACCTGGGGCTTCCTTGGAAATCCTGGGGTATCTGGGGCCACAGCCATTTCCAGCGACACCCAGTGTCGGGGGGAGGGGCTTTTTCGCTAGCCTCGCCCGACGATGGGGCGACTCAGAGGTGTTAGAGCACCCGTGCACATGCCTGAGCCTCCAACATCCGAGGCTTGAGCATCACAGGGGCCCAGGGGGTGGAGTCGAGGGAAGCACGGTGACCATGATCAGGATGTCGCCAAGAGAGTGTGAAGACCGCCGAAAAAGGATACAGTAGGCTCCTGAGATTCGAGCAGTATATCGACTTCAGCATTGATTGACTCAGAATTCGCTTTTCCGCCGAATCTACAACAAATGCGTAGAATGCTCCGGAGACATACGGAACATTCGACGTTTTTTGTCGCTGATTCGACGAGAACACATTCCGGGGTAAATGAATGATGTAGTTGATCTCGTACTGGAAGGATAGCCCACGAACCATCCAAGAGGCCCTCCATCCCGCACCACGCACGTGCACAATGGGCCTTTCCTCGAGGGTGCGGTGGGGGACGGAAACGCGCGCGTGTGGAAGCGCGGCGGCGTAGAATGACAGTTAACAGGGGCTACCTGTCCTCTGTGCCCGAGGAGACGCATCGAATCCCTTAGGGACATGGTGAACTGCTCAGGGCGGACGCTATTGTCGCCCTCAGAGCGCACTGATTACCTGGAGTGCGAAACTGCACAGGGCAGGCCAGGTGGGACGAAGTGCCCCCTACGGGCACAATGATGCTACATGGGATGTGCAGTTCGCAAGAGTAGACTTGTGCAACAATTTGCTCCTTTGGTGAACTTGTTCACAAGGCCCGTTAGAGCCAACGCGGCCTATGCTTCACAAGAGCGCACCTTGTGAAATGTTGCTCAGCCACGCCGCAGAGATAAAGGAGTCGGCGATTGTCCCCTCCTCGAGGTAAAATGTCGAGTGGACAACTAACAGGCCCAGCAATGCGAGGGACTGTGCAAAGGGTCAGCTGTAATGACAAAATGGTGATCCCTAACTGCACCGGGACATTCTAGAGGCATACACGTCAGCGCGGCGGCGCGGAACGCTGCACGTCGCGCCCGAGCATGCGACGTTTGCAGGTATGTCGAAGTAAGAAAAACTGGGACCATGACCAAGATACCGCGGGATCGTGCCGACGCCGACCTGGTCCTTGCTGCCAGTCGCCGAGTCGCCAGGGTGATCCACGAGCTGATTCTGACCAGGATGGGCGGTGTCCAGGTTTCGGCGCCGACGCTTCCACGTTCAGTCTTGGTCATCGTCATCGTCTTCTTTGCCACCTGGGGGGGAGGGGGAGGTGCAGGGATCAGGGGCGACGTCAGTCGAGGAAGCGCAGACGTGGAGTAAGGCGCGGGGGTCAGCGACTGGCCCCGTTTGCATGCGTTTTCGACGCATTCCGTCGCCACATCAGGCGGCGCTGGCTTCACGTGCAGCTTCGATCCGATCCGTGGATTTGGCGACCACGCGCCAGATCCACGGATCCGCAGTCTACGCGAGCGTGTCCCCAAATCAGGGGGCGGCTTGCCCGGAGGGGGCAGGCATCGATCCCCAATCGCCTATTCATCGGGCCTGGCAGCCATCCCCGCTCAGGAACGTGCAATTCCGCCAGGAAAGCGGAGGGAGGGAGGGAGGGGAGGGAGGATGAAAACACCAGGCTTCCTCGCATGGGAAAATCGGGACGAGCGGTTCTGGGCCTCTTTCGGCATCCAGAGAGGCCCTTGCAGGGACCTAGGGGGAGTAGAGGAGGGCAGAGGCCGAAGTTTGAGGATTGTGTTTACGCTTTTCGTAATTGCGTTGGCCTTCAGCGAACTCCTCCTCTCTGTTCTCGTTCTCCTTTCGATGCCCCGACGTTGATCGAAGCAATCGCCGCGTCTGAACGCTCTTGCTGATCTCATCTCTCTTCTTCATCCTATCTCCTTCTCCCTCCTCCTCCTCCTCCTCCTCCTCCTCCTCCTCTCTCCTCCTCCCCCTCCTCCTCCCCCTCCTCGCTTATCCCTTTTCCCCCTTCTCCTGTTCCCCCCGTCTCTCGTCTCCTCTTCATCGTTCATTTTTCTGTTTCATGTGCCCCTGTTCCAAGAAAAGACGTGTCTCGTAGGGTGGGGCGGGCGTTTCGCGTTTCGCTTAGAATCACTCTGAAGCTGAAACCATTCCACCAGCTACATGGATGGAGGCCAGCTCATTTTCAACATGCGGGTCTCGCATCAGCGATGCGCCCACTCGTTTTAACACATTCAGCAGCTGCGTCGACTGATGTAATGTGTTTTTCAAACTGTGGCCCTCGCTCTTGCGCCGAGCATATCGGTTTCACAAATTTTGCAACAGCTTCGTGGGCCCTCGTCTGAGAGTTCTCACCAGCTACGAGGGTCTCCAAGATGTGGCTATCGCTTGGGACGTCCTCCATATTCGATGCCCCAGGGTAGACCTTGTGCGACACTCGCACTGATCTGCAGCCATGACCCACGGTTCCGACCTGTGCAACGGTTGCCGCGGGCGGAGGGCGGCTCCTGCCAAACTGGGACTCGCTCGAGACGCCCTCACACGTTACGATCCGACTTGGACATTGTGCCGCAGCCACACGCGTGGAGGGCTGACCATGTTCAGGACGGAGCTTTTGCTGGTCTTCTCCCATGGACCTGCCTCGACGGTTGCTCAGAGACCTTCCTCTGTGCGCTTCTTCCAGTTAGACGGGTGGAGGGGGGATCGTTCACGAAGCAGGGCTCGAGAATTGATCGGAGGTTCCTAGATACCCCCGCCCTGCCAAGTCGGTGAGCGGATTGCCCTCCTTCGGTTCTCGAGAGGGTGTCGCTGCCGCATTTCTGCGGACCTGCACCCGCCGGTTTTGGTCCCTTGCCGTTCCCACAACAGGGTGTTTTGCCAAAGGGGGGTCGTTCCACTCTCGAACTGCGGATGCTGATTGCTGGTAGGTCGTCCAGGCCTCAAGGAGGCTCCCAATCGTCAATCGTGAATTCCCCTCGCCGCTTCTTTTCAGGAAGCACACCTGGCTGTGTCGGGAGATCGATTTTGTGGATGGGCAGCCCAGCTCTTGTCGCGTTGTGAAAGAGCCTCTCATCAGGCCCCATGGCTTTCAGACAACGATTCTGGATGAAACAAGCGGGTCCAAGTTCCCAAGATCACGTCACTGGGGGTATGGAAGAATTGGTGGGAGGGGGAGGGACCACGGGGAAGGGGGAGAGGGGAGGGAGGGAGGGGAGGAGGAGCAAGAGGCGGAGGAATAGGAGTGGGCCACCGAGGGATGTAGGCGGAGGGAGAGGAACAGGACGGGGAGAGGCAGGATGAATAGAAGCAGGGGTGTCGGGAACAAGTAAAACGAGGAGGAGGAGGAGGAGGAGGAGGAGGAGGAGGAGGCGGGGGACACCTTCTCTCCCCCTAAATGCTCCTCAACCTTTCGCTCCCTCCTCCTGCTACTCCTCCTCTCCCCATTCCCTCCACTTCCTCCTCTGTTATACGCTTTAGCAAGTGGCTGGATAGTGGGCTTTCGCCGATGCAAACTAGGGCGTGTAAGGAACGCTGCGGACATATACGTACATGACCCCCTTCTGCTGCGAGATCATGCTCACTCCTGTGCGCGATAAAGCTGACACTGCGCAAAAAACATCATATGTCGCAGATCCCGTGACTGTTCTCATAGGGTCCAATGGGAGCCTCATAACTCATCGTCCGACACCTCGATGGCATCGAAGGAACTACCTAGGGGCGCTCGGGGGACCCTGTATGGGATTTCGGGATAACTTTGCAGGGCGCAAGGAGGGCGCTCACACGGGAGGCCCCCCGTACAGTCGACCCGCATGGTAAGGATGGACAATTTTCCCAAGGATGCCTTTGCATCCTTGCCTCTTCGGTCCATCCTGGCCACTTTCGTTGGCCGCGCCCCGCTCGAGAAGCTTCGGAATGGGCGTCCGAGGCCCTTGCATCCCTATCGCGCATCCTTATGGTACGGGTCGACTGTAGGTCAAAAGCTGCTTCGGCCGCGCCCGAACAGCTCGATGCGCGAGCTTCGACCCGACCTCCAAGACCTCTCCCTCTCCCGCGGTGCGGCTTGACGAGCTCGTCTAGGTGGGGCACCCGGCAGTGGTGACGAGAGGCCTCCCAATTTGGGCCTCGATCCTCGAGGCCAGTCCCGCTCCTCAGGATGCCACTCCTGGGGCGTCCAATTCAGCATCGGCGCAGGTTGGAACCTGGCCTAATCCAGTTCCGTCTCTCTCAATCCTGCTTCATCTCGCTTGATCTGGGCTTAGCTTGGCTTGATTCTGACCTCACTCTGGGCCAGTCGGGCTCAGTGCTTCCTGACTCGGGCTCAATCGCCATGCAAAAGCGCTCTTGCGAAGACCTTACAGGAGTTGCCTCCTGACCAACAACCGCGATCCTCGATCGCTGAGCTCAATCCGGATCTCCTCACCCTCGATTCTCGAGGCTCGGATGGGGCTGGGGTGAGGATCCATCCGTTCCAGAGAGCGTTCCGGAACGCTCTCGGAGCGTTCCGGAACGCGAAGGCCCGGGCGCCCGATGCATCCTCCAGAGCCGCCGCCAGATCTCAGAGATTCTCGATGTGCCCTCATCCGAATTGTCCTCGTCCTGGCTTCGTCTTATTCGGTAGCAGATCATGGGAGCCTGGCGAGCCCTGTTCATTCCGCTTTTAGCGTCGAGTAGCGTCGGGGGGTCGATGAGATAGCGCCGAGTTGGCGTCAGTGAGCGTCGCTGAGCCTCGATTGAGCGTCGATTGAGCATCGATGAGCGTCGACTCGCAAGAGCCAGCAAGAGGGCATGGGAGGCTCCCACGAATTGCCACCGAAGACTTTAGTCACTATAGTCTCCCCCTGGCTTCGTCGTGGAGGTCGGTCCTCGAGGAATTCAGTCTCCCCCTCGATTCCTCGAGCCGAGTCTCCGTCCTCGACTCCTCGCTTTAACCTCGTCCTCGAATCGGTCCACCGTCCTCGAAGCCGCTGCTCGTCCTTATCCTCAGAGGTCGGTCCTCGATCCTCGGGTCGACGGCTCGCGGCGAGGCTCTCGCGCCGGGGGGCCCGGCGGCGAGCGCAGGGCGGCGGGAAGCAGTGGCGCTCCCAGTCGGTGTCCGCCGGCTCCTCGCCCAAGAGGCCCGCGCGGCGCGGCCCGGCAGAGCGGCGCCGCGGCGGCGGCGACGGCGACGACGACGCCGACGAAGACGGCGACGACGACGACGCCGACGACGACGACGACGAGACAACGACGACGACGAGACGACGGTGACGAGGCGACGACGACGACGACGAGACGACGACGACGACGACGACGACGACGACGACGACGACGACGGCGACGGCGACGACGACGACGACGACGGCGACGACGACGACGACGAGACGACGACGGCGCGTCCCCCGTTTTTTTTTTGGGGGGGGGATCGAAGCCCAGACATCATCCAGCGTCTTTCGAGTGGGTGGTCGACTCCAGAGCGGATCTACCCCAAAGGTCATGTTCCGTCGCATCTGCGAGCAGATGCATCGCATGCCCTGTGGATGCGCTAACCTTCTGCGTGGTTCTTTCTTTTACTCTGAATATTTGACGAACAAAACAACTTTGAGGTAAAGCAATACTGTAGTCGATTCCCTATTCCAGTACTAGGACAATTTAAGCCGGAGGTTTTCATAGTTTTTGGCCAGTCCACCGTCAAGGTGTGGCGAAGCTTCCCGGCTCACCTACAGGCCCACCAAATAACGTTTAGAGATCATTTTTTGTGGTTTGGAAATGTTCCAGGGACATCTCTGGCCGAGACCGTCCAGTATCAATATGTCGGCTATAAGTTCTAAGAACATTGTTTTTGTTTTTCGAAAATGCTTTTGTAAGGAAACGCTCACTTTAACATACAGGCGCCCAAACACGTGTCGATCCCCAGGAGAACATGGGAAACGTTGGGAGGGGTGGAGAAGGCGAAGCTCAAGAAAAGATTGACAAACATTGGAAATCCTTGGATGTGTGTTTTTTAGTTGTTGGAAAATATTGGGGATCCTTGGATTTGTGTCTATTTGGTTGTTTGTCCCTGGGCGCCTTCAAATTGGGCACGCCCTCAGATGGATGAGTGATCCGTGGATCTGGCGCGCTTGCGCAGTATCCATGGGTCGGGGAAGGTCCTTCCGAAGCACGAGGCCGATGCTGCCCGATTTGGCGACGCAGCGCACCGATGCTGTACGGAAGCGGGTTCCGTCGCCAATCCACGCGTCGATAGGCCATGCTTGCGCTTCCTGGAGAGAAGGCATACACAGCCTTGGCCGCTCCCCTTCCCGGCGCCTGCTCGTCCTCCTCCTCGCCCGTGGCGCTGATTTACGCTCTTGGGGGGCAGTTTTAAGACGAGCGGTTCCTCTAAAGGAGGCATCTGCAAAAATAGTCAAAAGTAGTCAGGGGACGATTTTCTGGTATTTTTGACAATTGTGAATATCTTGGAATATTTTCAATTCCTCCTCCAAAATCCGCCTGTAGGACGACATACCCGACCTAAGGTTAGTTCGTACCGCTCCGTGCTCCATTCCTGGAGCCCGCGGTGCACAGTGTGACGAGTGGATCTGCAGGTTGGCCGCCTCGCCTTCGCCTTTCGCCACCTCTTTTTCCCTTCGGCCCATCCTTGGCCGCGTTCGCTGGCCGCGCCCTTCTCGCAAAGTGTCGACATGGCCTTCAAGTGCCCTTGCATCCTTATCGTGCATCCTTGTACGGGTTGACCTGTACTCCCCAATCATCGGGGCGGGGGGTGCTCAGGGACAACTCCCTGTGTTCGTGCGTCGGAGGCTCAAGCCGGAGTTACCCTGAGCCAGAGTTCCCCGGGATGACTCGAGCGTCCAAGGACGGTCCCGTTTCCAAGAGGAATCGGCGCGATGCGCCGCAAGATGATGCGGCACCTGCCTCATGCTTCGGGGGGTACTTCCCCCTTATCCGTGGATCTGGTGCCCACGCGCCAGATCCACGCTTCCGTAAGTCCATGCTATCTTGCGCTCGATGACGGCGCATCGGCAGACAGATCAAGCATGCGGATAACATGCGTGCCGGCATGCAGGATTGGGTGTGTGGGGGGGGGGTATGGGGAATCAGAGGTGGCGGTGCGAAATCTATTCGCACGCATCTGGTTTCGGCCCCGCAGTTGGGCGCATTATTCTATTCAGGTTCATTTCCCAGCGTTGCCCAGCGCTGGGAAAGCCAGCTGCATGCGGCTGATTCGCTGACCTTCCTCTGTTATCTTCCTCTTTTCGTCGACGAGAGAAGCAAGAATGGGAGGAGGATGACAATGATGATGAGGAGGAGGAAGAGCAGGAGTAGGAGGAGGGGGAGGAGGAGGACATCAAAAAGGAGGGGGAGGAGGTGGACGGAGGGTTCTAGGGAGGAGCTCGGGGGGCCGAGGAAGTATGGAGTGACGGGCCAATTTTCCACCACTGCAAGTAGGCAGGACGGTGGAGGAGGGAGAATGGGAAGGTCCTCTTCCTCCTCCCTCTCCTCCTCCTCCTCCTCCTCCGTTTCCACCTCCCCACCTCCTCCTCCTCCTCCTCCTCCTCCTCCTCCTCCTCCTCTTCTCTCTCCTACTGTGGTAGTGGTGGTGGAAAACCGGCCCATCATGGAGTGAGGGGGAGAGCGAGCGAGGGAGGCAGGAGGAGTGAGGAGGGAGGAGGAGGGTGAGGGGGCAGGGGCGGGGGTGATGGGGAGGAGCGCCAGGGGCAGGAGGAAGGAGGAGGGGTTCAGGTATTAGGAGCAAGAGGATGACGGGAGTGTAACGTCTTCTTTTCCGCGCGTATGGGGCGCTTCGTTTTTTTATGTTTCAAAGTCGTGATGCGCTCCGTGGCCCTAATAATTCGGCGATCGCAAACATGGATCAAGGGGGCGTAGATTACCGACGGATCCCGTTTCCATGCGAATTCGCGGATTTCCGCCGCCGAACGAGGCGGCACCGGCCGCATGTTGGGGAGGGCACCTCCCCCGATCCATGGATTTGGCGACCGCGCGCCAAGTCCATGGTCTCGCTAATCCATGTCTGCGCGCCCCCAGCAGTCGTGGTGCGACCCTTTCTTGCGGCCTCGCACGCTCGCCATTCGGAGGGTCCTGAATCCCACGGGGAGGCACGCCGCCCAGCAGGGGCCTCCCTGGCGAGCCCTCGGCCTTCTGCCGGCGCGCCCTGCGGATGCACAGCTGACCTGACCTGACCTGGCCGCGCTGCGGCCGGGCACGTCGGCTTACCGTCGGGCCGAGGTCGAAGGTTGAGAGATCGGCTCGCGGAGGGTGCTCCCTGAGGTTCTTCGTGCTCGCTTGTCGGACGCTCTTGCGCATCCTGGGGAGGGCCCCCTCGGATGCTCTGTGTGCTTTGGAGTGGCGGAGGGTCTCATGTTTTTTTGGGGGATGAGGAGGAGGAGGAGGAGGAGGAGGAGGAGGAGGATGAGGAGGAGGAGGAGGAGGAGGCGGAGGCGGAGGCGGAGGCGGAGGCGGAGGAGGAGGCGGAGGAGGAGGAGGAGGAGGAGGGAGGAGGAGGAGGAGGAGGGGAGGAGGAAGGGTGAGGCGGAGGGATGAAGATGCTGATGAGGAGGAGGAGGAGGAGGAGGAAAGAGGAGGAGAGGAGGAGGAGAGGAGGAGGAGGAGGGAGGAGGAGGAAGAGGAGAAGGGTGTGGCGGAGGGATGAGGAGGAGGAGGAGGAGGAGGAGGAGGAGGACGAGGACGAGGAGGAGGGAGGAGGAGGGGAGAGGAGGAGGAGGAGGAGGAGGGGGGAGGAGGAAGGGGTGAGGCGGAGGGATGATGATGATGATGATGATGATGATGATGAGGAGGAGGAGGAGGAGGAGGAGGAGGAGGAGGAGGAAGAAGAAGAAGAAGAATAATAATAAGAATAAGAATAAGAAGAAGAAGAAACAGAAGAAACATAATAATAAGAATAAGAAGAAGACGAATAAGAATAATAATAAGAATAATAATAATAAGAATAATAAAAAGAATAATAAGAATAAGCATAAGACGAAGAAGAAGAATACTAATAAGAAGAATAAGAATAATAAGAAGAAGAATAATAAGAAGAGGAGGAGGAGGAGGAATAATAATAGTAAGAATAATAATACGAATAAGAAGAAGCAGACGAATAAGAATAATACGAATCATACCAATAATAATGATACTAATAATAATAAGGAGAAGGATAATAATAATAAGAAGAAAACGAAGAATACTACTAAGAACAAGCATACTAAGAAGCATACTAAGAAGAACAATAATAAGACGAACAATACGAATACTAATAATAAGAATAATACGAAGAATACTAAGAATCATAAGAAGGATACGAACAATAATAATAATAATAAGCGGAGGAGGAGGAGGAGGAGGAGGAGGAGGGGGAGGAGGAAGGGTGAGGCGGAGGGATGAGGAGGAGGAGGAGGAGGAG